CACACCCGGTGGCTGAGCCGGAACTGTGGGCGAGGACGCCACTGTCCCTGCGCGGGTCCGGCTTCCTACGAACCGGCCTCCAGGGCTCCAGCCTCGGCTCCACGGAACGCGCGGCTTTTTCAAAGTTCCGCACAGCTCCAGGCCTAGCCGCGCTCCTTTACTTGCTCGTTTCTTTCTTTCTTTTTTGAATGAATGGGCTCCCCGGGGCCCCTGATTGGCTGGGCGAGGACCACCCCATAGGCCCCCGTGGCCTGAGCGGCCAATCGTGGTGAGGAAGGGTGCGTGGTTTTCGGGGCGCAGTGGGCGCAGGGGCCCTGCCCTGGCCCCGCCTTGGCCACACCCCTACGCTCATCCCGCGGGTAGTAGTTGCAGGCGACCGAGCTAAAGCCCGCTGGTTTTCTGCCTAGTCACGGGAAGCCCTTTTGTGTGGCACCCTCGTTAGCCGACCTGGATCTCCAGTCAGACCGACTGGGGCATGAGTCATGGCCTTAACCACACAACCAATGGGTCTTGGCTGCCTGTCACTATTTGAGCCAGTTAAGCAGAGACAGGGTTGAATCATATATGCGCCTTTCTTCCAATAATGCGGGCAGCATGGGTGAGCAGCAGGCCATCCACAAAAATCTGCTCTCCCCTTCCCAGAGCCAACTGCTTATATTGGGTAGGAGGCAAAGATTACGTGGGAGAGAAAGAATTCCAGGCATGGGAAAGGAGGCAAGGTGTAATGGTTACAGGTTGAACCTGTCAAAGCTGGCTCTGTTCCCATTCCCACGCCCCCAGACACTCTGTGCCCATGGGGGGGGGGGGGGGGGGGGCGGTCTCCAGGCACCTCCGGACAGGCAATAGGGGCTGCAAAGGGCAGGTGCCTCCAGGATTAGATTGCTGCAGCCAGGAAGTGGTAAATCTTTCCATAATAGTAGGCACTTCTCGGGAAAGAAGGATGGACTGCATTCCGATGTTGGCTCCCATGTCCCAGGGTATGCAACTCTCAGCCGTGTTAGAATGTGCTTCCTCCAATTAGAACAGAACCATCACGGTTAACAGAACATGGTTAATATTTCTTATAATTGTAGCTAGTCCCCAATATTCTATTTCTGCCCCTAACAATGGGGCAGACCAGGAAGGAGGGAGCCAGGAGGAAGAGTCTGTTTCCTGGGAGGGACCCGAGGATCCCGAGGCTGCATGTGCACCCCGGCTGTGTGTTGGTTGCAGGTGATCTTTTCTGAGTTTGGTGTTTGTACACCGGGGGCAACTGCTTTGGAAGTTCCTTCTTGGGGTGCACCCGGTTCCAGATGTCTGTGGGACCAGAAGCAAATTAGCAGGCAGTTGCCACGGTGGAGTGTAGTTCCAGGAACAGAAAAAACAGGATTTTTAGAAACAGAATCAGGTGGCCATTCATTCTCTGTTACTGGGCGCCTACTGTGGGCAGGCACTCGGGCACTTGGAGAGCAGGCCCACCCCACTGGCCAGGAGAACAGGATCTGTGGGAGGAGAGCAATGGGTGGACAGACCCTTAGCTCCACACGGTGGCTGGGGTGGGGTGGGGTGGGGTGGGGGGTAGAGGGAACACCTGGACAGGCACCATCTGTTGAGTCCCTAAGGTTTTATTTTGTTTTTAAATCCTCACCGGAGAACATGTTCATTGATTTTTAGAGAGAGGGGCTGGGGGGTGAGGAGAGAGAAACATCAATGTGAGAGAGGAATATCAATCGGTTGCCTCCCTAACTCGCCCCAACCGGAGATAGAACCTGCAATCTAGGCATGTGTGCTGACGGGGACTCGAACCCATGGCCTTCTGGTGTATGGAATGATGCTACAACCTACTGAGCACACCGGCCAGGGCAAGGTTTTTGTTTGTTTTTAAACTGGGTTTGCCAGTCAGCCACTGGGTTCATTTTCTCAGACCCAACCCAGAGTTGGCTCTGTGACTAGGGCACATCTTTTCCTCCTGCCTCAGTTTCCTTACCTGACCACTTGGGGTAATGATTCCTGCTCTGTTTTTTGTTTTTTTAATATATTTTTTTAATTGGTTTCAGAGAGGAAGGGAGAGGGAGAAAGAGATAGAAACATCAATGATGAGAGAGTCATTTCTCCCCTGCATGGCCCCCACAGGGGATCAAGCCCACAACCTGGGCATATGCCCTGACTGGGAATCGAACAGTGACCTCCTGGTTCAGAGGTCGACTGAGCCACGCCAGCTGGGCTCCTGCTCTGGTTTTGAGGACCAGTTCTAGTAATGTAATTGGAAGTAATGAGACTAACTCGCTGACCATTAGCTGTGTGCCAACTACTATTGCTGTGCTTATATAAACTCCTTTAATCTTCAGAATAGTCCTATTTTACAGACGATACAAACACAGGCGCTGAGAGATGAAGTTACTTGCCCCACAGCTATTGAGTTACCAAGTAGGAGCTTGAATTTAAGCATCTGACTCCAGGGTCCTTAGACTAATCGTGACTCGACCATTACCCAGTGCTATTGAAGTTATGAATATGGCTGAGCTGGGGTAAAATATTATGAGTCTCATTGTGGGGAGTTGTTCTCTGTGGTCCCTTTACAGCAGGAGTGCTGAGGATGAGGCAAAGAAATGAAAACTACATTTCTGACCGTGGCCAGGTGGCTCAGTTGGTTGGAGCATCCTCCCGTACACCAAAAAGTTTTGGTTTCAATTCCCCATCAGGGCACATACAAAGGTTTTGGGTTCAACCCTTGGGTTGAGGCGAGTATGGGAGGCAACCAATCGATGTTTCTCTCTCTCCCTTCCTCTTTCTCTCTAACATAAATCAATAAAAGCATATCCTCCATTGAGGTTTAAAAAAAACAACCTGAATAGCCCTGGCCCAGTGTTGGTTGAGCATTGTCCCATGAACCGAAAGGTGGCCAGTTTGATTCCCAGTCAGGCCACATGCCCAGATTGCAGGTTCTGTCCCGTCAGTATACAACAGGAGGCAACCAATGGATGTTTCTCACATCAAAGTTTCTCTCTCTCCCTCTCCCTTCCTCTCTCTCTAAAATCAATTAAAACAAACAAACAAACAAATAAGCAAACCCCCCCTGTATTTCTGGTCTAGTTATACCTTATCTCCCTGATTCTTTATAATAGCAATCTTCCGAGAGTGGCTGTGAAGAGCAGACCTTTTTCTTATCCTGTTTGTAGGTAAGGGTCTGGCTCAGAGAAGTTGAGTGACTTGCCCAAGATCACACAGCAGACAATGACAGAACTTGGTCAAGATGTCCACCTGCCTCCCAGCTCTGGGGCACTATTTGCTGGGGGTGGGGAGTGGGGTGTGGAAGGATCTAGGAAGGTGACCCAGGTTTTTGAAAGTCATACTCTGAGTGTTGAGCCTGTTGCTTTTCATCTTTATGAGACGCTCTGGGCAAGATGAGTGTGAAGTAGTGGGTGGCTGGGTGGCCCCAGATGGGACCAGGGGAGATCTGATGGCCAATCTGGGTTCCCGATTTCATCCTGAGATAGATGGGGTGGCGTCATAGGCAGAGCGTGAAGAAAAACAAATGACATTGATATCTTGCAGTGGAAGATGGGTTGGGGGCTTGGCTGTTAGTACCAAGTATCAGTTCCACACTCTTGTCTTCTCTGAGTTTGTGTCCTCCTTATCTGCTGAATGGGGGTAGCTGTTCCTCCATCATAGGTTATACGTGTGAAAAATGTTCACGCAGGGCTGGCAAAGAGAAGGGAATGGATGACTGTTCACTCCTCCAAGGCCTTTAGAAAGGGGCCCCTAGGAGCCACAAAAAGCAACCTTGAAGAAAGGCGGTGGGTCCAATTGTTCATAAATGATCTTTCCTCACTTCTTCCTTCCTCCTCTGGGGATTTCCCCCTCATTCTGGGCCACCTGTCCAAACTGCATTTCTTTGAACTATCCTCCCCTCAAGGTTGTTGGCTTCTCCCTGAGCAGCCTCCCTGCCTTATAAACGACACCTTTCTTTGGCATGTCCACCCTTCCACTCCATGACAGCTGCCCCACCTTTGTACCCTTTGACCTGCAAAATGGGTGTTGCAATTTGTAAATGAAGTCTGTGAGAGGCAAAAGGAGTTCAAGCTCCCAGAGGGCCAGAATGCAGCCTGTGAATACCAAACACTGATGGAGGCTGGGGAAACAGGAAGGCTTCCTGGAGGAGGAGACAGATAGACCAGGCCTTGAAAGATGGTAACTAATACCATTCCTCTAGAGCAGTGGTTCTCAACCTTCCTAATGCCGCGACCCTTCAATACAGTTCCTCATGTTGTGGTGACCCCCAACCATAAAATTATTTTCATTGCTACTTCATAACTGTAATTTTGCTACTGTTATGAATCGTAATGTAAATATCTGATATGCAGGATGTATTTAGGCGACCCCTGTGAAAGGGTCGTTCGACCCCCAAAGGGGTCGCGACCCACAGGTTGAGAACCGCTGCCCTAGAGCTTACCATTTAACAATAGGTAGTACAGTCCCCATATTATAGAGGAGGAAACTGGGGTCAGAGAGGTGAAATTACTCTCCCAAAGTCTCGTCGGGGTTGGAGGCAGCACTCAAACCAAGGCCTTCTATATCCTTGTCCTCGGCCACCGCAGGTGGGACTCAGCCCTCTGGAGATACGGGACAGAGCTGGTGGGCTGGGGAGAGGAAAGGCTCCCAGAGCGTCAGTTCCCAGCTCAAAGGCCTTCAAAGTGTAGGAAGGGGCTGGAAGCTGGAAGGCCAGGCCCCAGGAAGCCCAGGGGTGGCCCAGCCAGGGGAAGTTGGGTGGGTCCCTGGCTGTGGACGTGGGTCACGTAGGCC